AATGACCTAATTAATTAACTAGCCTAAAAATGCACGTAGAGTTACTAATGTATTTTTTGGTATTTTAGTATTTTACAAATGCAATTGATTATGCATTTAAAATCTTAAAAATATAAAAATTAAAATATTTTTGTATTTTCTTTAGGATTTAAAATGCAACTTAAAAATACATCAAATATGAATACGTACAAAGCAAACTAAGTAAAAATATAAAAAAATAATTTAAAACTATTTTTTGGATTTTTTAGGAGTAATTTTATATTAGGGCAAAAATTAGGTGCTCACATGGATCATTTTCAAAGCCCTACTTTGCCCCCCACACCCCAAAACACGAAAACTTGCTCTAGATTGGGAATCTCTCAAGAACCTAACTTTCTCCAAGGTCTCTCCACCATCCAAGGTAAGTTCTAATGGTGATTCTAAGTTTATTTAAATTCTTCAACGCCTTATTAACATGGTTAAACCCTTCAAATCATTAGATATTGGATTGGACCATCATTGTTGAGAAAAGAAATCCTAGAACTCGAATTTTATAGGATTGAACGTCAAAAGGTAACATCTTCACTCCCTAATTGATTATAGTATTAGATTAATGATTACAAACTCTAAGTTCATGAGATATAAGTTGACGCTTTTGATAAAGAAACATGAATAGTTATAGGTTTGGGTTGTTGATTGTTGATTTTTGGTTAAGTGTGTTGTTTATCTTATGGGTGATGAATAATGATATTGATTATAAGCAATTTGAGATTTTAGAATTTATCTAGGAGCAAGAGAGTGTGTTATTGGGTATAGAAATACCATTAATGAGGGCTATGAGGCTTTACGCCCGTAAGATATTTGATAAAATGCCTAAGTGACCAAAACATGAGTATTATTGCTAATATGGAATCCCTTTGACTTGTATTGATATAGATTAAAGTTGAAAGGGTTGTCGAATATTGTATTACTCGCAAGAGCAGGAAGTTAAGGTATGTGATATGTTTGAGAATGTTAATGATTCTCCCAACACTACGTTTCTTTTACGATGTTACTAATTGCCTAAGAAATATAATTATGCCTATTTCCATTAATAGTTGCAGAACTTCTATTCTCTAGCTTCGTAACTCGTTCATGACTTTCATTCTGGACGTTGTGAGCTCAGTGCGTAATCAATATAGACTTGGGTTTGATGCCCATGAGTCTCAGTCTAGATTACTCAGCATGTCATAAACAGTTGAAGTTTCAATTTTCATAATCAGTCCATGAATATATGTCTCTAGGGGTGGGCGTCGGTCGGTGCGGTGCAATTTGCAAAAAGTTCTTCGGTGTTCGGTTATTGATTTGGTGAATAGACAATCGAACCAATATAACTTCGGTTGGTTCGGTGTTTGAAACTACGGTTCGATTGGTTTTCAATTTTTGTTTGATAGATTATTTTCCTAGTTTATCAACATTAAGCATATATTAATTACACACCGTAAGTGTTTTGTAATGTTCCTTTCGTTGATAAAATATAGAATCAAGTAAGCTAGCTCTTTCTTTTACTATATGTCATGGGCAATCTTCTTTATATTTGAATCACTTTTGTAAAACAATTGGCTCTAGCCACTATTGCTAACCTTGTATTTTATGACCTTAAAACCATCAAAATAATAAATCTTTTTACAAGGTCATTTTGGATTGAAACTAGCTTAACATAAAAATAGCTAGGTAGGCTACCACAATCATGTATTTGCTTCTGAAATTTGAAGGTTCACTCCAGAAAAAACATTAAGGACCAACTACTGCACTGAAGAAGTAATATTCAATAGTATTGTGATCTAAACAAGTAATATTCTCTACATAAGTGACTTTTATGATTTATAGAACAAAATACATAATGATTTCAACATAAATACTAGGCAGAAACATTTGATCAAACAATAACTGGGCAGAAACGTTTTCATCCATCAAAACTCCAACACAATATATGGCAACTTAAAGTCTTAAATACATAATAGTGACTATCACAAAAGCCATAATAAGTCTAACAAAATAGTGACTATCACAAAAGCCACAAAATAAGTTTGGTAAAAGGTCACCAAATAACACCAAGTGCTACAACCATACTTAAATAGTTAAATACGAATCTCCAACCTTAGATGAAGGAGGAGACACTTCTTCTTAATATGTTTCATTAAAGAAAAAGTTCCATTAACCTTCGGATTAAAATTATAAATTCGACTACAATGAATGCACTTAGCTTTGCGCCCTTCATTTTCTTTAACAATCTCAAAATGTTCCCAAATAGGCGATCTAGCTTTACGATTGCGAGGCATGGTTGAACCTACAAATTAAAAAAAGATTACAAGTTAAATACAATCTTTTTAACTAATAAATAATAAAAAGATATCACAAAACAAGCGAATCTTTAAACTTACCACTTAACTAACTTGCATTCCTTTCAACAATGCAAGTTTCTCTTTCACTATTTGCCATATATAAAGATTATTTAACAAAGTGTGTCATATAACATAATCAAATTATTTTGCACTAAAAATCACATTAAACACAAAAATCTTACAAAGTTCAAATTATTCAAGAAACTTCAATTCTTCTTCAATATTAATAGGAGTACCCTCGCATCTAAACCAATCTTGAACACAAACAAGACTTTGCACCAACCGAGGAGTCAATGAACTCCTAAATGAAGCAAGAATACGGCTACCGGTGCTAAATGCACATTCTGATTCCACACTAGAAATTAGAATGGTCAATACATCACGAGCTAGCTCAAAAAGAACAGGGAATCTAGGTGCATTAAGTTTCCACCAATCTAAGATTTTAAAGTCATCAGAGTCACTTCTTTTGTCTCTTTAATTGAAGCTTTGTTCTCACTTTTCTTTCTCATACTCCCACTCCCACTAGATGTATTAGATGTGTCATTCGATGAAGTATATGTAGATGAAGATGATTGAAGATGATATCCTCTTGAATATATTTGTTGATACTCTCCAAACAAAGAAGCCATATAAGCCTCCACTTCAGCAGTTATTTTCTTTCCTTCTTCATCTCCAAATATTTTCTTAAGTGCAAAACCAACATACTCCAATTTATTAAGGGGATCTAATACATAAGCAATAAATATTATTTTATTCATCTTTTTGGGTTCACCCCAATATTTCTTAAACTTTTCTTCCATCCTCTCTGCCATCTTACTTAAACTAGTATCTTCACTTGCCAAACAAGCTTTCAAATGATTATCAAGTTCACTTATATCCTCAAAATAACAATTAGAAGTGACATAACGTGAACCTGAAACTTTTTCGGTGAGCTCATGAAATCTTTCAAGAAATTTTATTACATTTCTCACATTCACCCAATCATCACATTCGAGTGGACCTACAATTTTCCCGTCTTCACAAATATGAGAATAAAGATAAGTAGAAAATCCATCATAAAAACGATGAAACTTATCAAAGGCCTTCTCAAAATATTTTGCGCTGTATCCAACATCAAGTAGGTGGAATTTCACCTAGTAGGAACATCTAAACACAATATTTTGTTACATTCTACCTCTTGATATGCACAACACTCCTTAAACTTTAAGGTCCTTTGAGGTGATGATCTCACATACCTCATAATTTGTCTAACACGTTTAACAAAAATATCGATTTCTTTTAAAACATCTTACACAATTAGATTAAGTATGTGAGCCCAGTGGCGAAGCCAAAAAATTTAAAATGGGTGTTTAAATTTTGAACACCTTTTGCCAGGGGGCTATACAAGGGTGTTCAAAGTCTATTTTTAATCAATAACAAGTAATATTTTACATTATACGTAATATAATTTTTCGGCGAAGGGTGGTCAGTTGACCACCCTTGGGCCAACATAGCTTCGCCCCTGTGTGAACCATGCACCTCGCATGAAGATGCTTACCACTCATCGAATTAGTTTTCCACATATTTAATTGTTTAGATATTTCTTTGACCGTTACATCATTGGAAGAAGCGTTATCAACCATAACAGTGAATACCTTGTCTAATTTTCATTCAAGAAAACAACTACCAATAACTTTCGTCATTTCATCACCCGATAGGGATAAAATTTAGCATTATTTTATACAATACCCAATCTCTATCAATAAAGTGACAAGTCAGACACATATAATTTATTCGTTGTAATGAAGTCCATGTGTCGGTGGTAAGGCAAATTTTTGGTTTTACATCTCTAAAATTCTTCAATAGTTTGTCTTTCTTCACCATAAACTTTAAAACAATCTCTCGTAATACGAGAAGGAACATGAAACAAAAGTTGGGCGGTACTCATGAACTTTTTAAAGCCTTTCTTTTCAACAAAACTAAAAGGTAGTTCTTCTGTAATTATCATCTCAACTAAAGCCCTCCTAACTAGTTCTTGATCAAATTTTTATAGCACTCCCACCTATGCTTGCCCATCTATTTCGAAAGACAATTATGTTTGAGTACTATCAACAACATTCTTCGGCATTTTTGGACACTTCTTTAAATGAGTATTCAAGGATGTTGTTCCATTCAATCGTGAATCGACCTTATAATCACGACCACAATATTTACACTTTGCTCTATCAGCTCCATTTCCATCTTTAAATTTTTTAAAATGATCCCAAGCTTCTGACCTAAATTGTATAGATTTTCATTTTTTTGGACCTTGACTAGTTTCAACTGAATTTGTAGGTGAAGAAGTAGGCTCATTTTGGTTGAATCCACCTCACTTACTCTACTTTCAACTTCTGCCATATATAGAAAAATGAATGTAAAGAGAATTAAAAAAATGTAAACACTGGAAAATGAAAACTAAGTTTAAGTCTCTAACGCCAATAATATAATGGAGTAGAGCATTAGAACTCTTAGAAGTTAGATCTTGCAATTTCTATTTCAACACTTGAAAAAAAAAAATTACCAGTAGAAGAAGAAGAAGAAACAAGGGATTGGCAAAGTGCAGACTAAGCAGTGGCCAACGGAGTAATAGTGAAGGTCGGCGGATCAGCGACAATAGGACACGGATGAGCAGCAGTAGACGTAGTCGGCAGTTGGAAGTCGGAACTCAGAAGCCAAAAGTGAAGTGAAATAGTGAACCCTAACTAATGTTAATTACTATTTACTTATTTACTTGTTAATGATAATTGATAATAAGGCCACTAGGTCCAAACTCCAAATTGGGATTTTGAAAGTCGTCCATAGTCCATATGTTCCGGCCCATATTAGTAAATACTATATTTCATATTGAATAGTTTGGTTTTTCGGTTAACCGAATAACCGAGGTACCAAAATCGTAAACCGTACCAAACACCAAAAATTAATAATTTATAAACCATACACTGACCGAGTAACCGATTAAACCGAAATCGAGCAATCAAAATTTACGGTTCGACCGATTTTTTTAGTTCGGTCGGTATTATGCCCACCCCTACATGTTTCAGTTAGTTCTATTCAGCATTCAAGTATTATATAACTCAGTATGGTTTAGTATTTCAGTATCATGTATTACAATACGATTCTCAGTTCTTATTTTTACATCCCTAAATGTTGAACACCTGTATTTGGGCCTGAGGCCGCAATTTATGCTTTATGCATCTTTGGGCCAGAGGCCGCAGTTTATGCTTTATGCATCTTTGGGCTCGAGGCCGCAGTTTATGCTTTATGTGTCTTTGGGACTGAGGCTGCAGTTATGTATACGTATACTTGGGCCCGAGGCCGCAACTTATGCACATATATATTTGGCTTGAGGCCGCAATTTATTTATTCAGATAAACAAGTGATTCATCATTCATAAGAGGGAGTATTTATATACTTGTTTCCTTTGATAAGTTATCAGTTATCAGTTCAATTTCAGTTTCAACATGTATCATTTCAGTTATCAGTTATCATTTCAGTTATCAGCTCAGTTTGCATTTATAGTTCTTTCTTTAAGTTGTTTTATATACTAGTGCAATTCAAATGTACTGATGTCCTTTTTTCTTGGGACCTTCATCTCACGATGCAGGTAATGATTTACAGGTTGACAATTCAGCGTGCTAGGATTCTCGTACCAGCTATTTGGCGAGCCCCAATTCTTTCGGGGCATTATCATTACTTTACAGTCTTCAGTATTTTTAGACAGTCAGTATTTTCAGTACTTCATTAGAGGATTCATAGACTAGAGTAACCGTTAGATAGAGTCGTAGGCTTTTCATGTTAAGCAATGTTGGTTACAGTTATGTTTCAAACTTATATTAGTGTTTTCACACTTTGATTTATATCATTCAGACTTTCAATATATCAACATGTGTTAGTTTATCTTCTGCATTCTGTATGTTATGATATTACATATTGATTCAGTCAGCCAGTTGGTTCGCTCGATTATATGTAGTCAGACACTGAGTGTCGTGTTACGTCGAGGCCCAGGTTTGGAGCGTGACAGTGACCCACCCAACCTGGGACCGATTGGGTAGGTCATGTTTTTTTGGGCCAATTTTGACACTTTTATCAATCACTCTTGTTCCTAAATCTCATTGTACTCCTTTTTAAAAAAAACAAAAATTAATTGCGTCATGACACAAGGAGAATTAGGCGTGATTTATATTTATACACATGCAAATTCGATTTGAATACTAGACTAACCAATCTAATTTTGTTGCTGCATGAGAAATGAACAACGACATTAAATTTTTTAGATATTCAGTAGAGTTGATTTTTCTTTTATAATATCTAATGGTTTACCAAATTAATAATTGTCTACTCATAAAGACAGACATGACTGATGACACTTATCCAATTATATGCTGGAAATTTTGTAACTGAGCTCCAAGTCAAAGTAATTTCTTCAATGGTGGCTGGTAATCATGCAATATAAGGCATCAATCAACAGTACGGCTTTTGGCTAAATGTTTAATGATTGAAGAACTTTCTAACAAGTTGTTTATTTTATTTATATGTTGAAAAACCAGTAAATTGAAAATTGAGCAAACTGGGACTATAGCATTAATTGTTTTGTAAGCAATTGGAAGAAATTCAGATGACCACTTTATTCTTTTCACATTAAAAAATCAGTCTGGTGCACTAAGCTCCCGTTATGCGTAGGATCCGGTCAACCACAGGGTCTATTGTACACAATCTTACCCTACATTTCTACAATAGGCTATTTTCACGGCTCGAGCCCGTGACCTTTTGATCACATGCCATCAATTTTACCCGAAGAACTTTAATTTGATTAAAATGAACTAACTTCCTCGATAGTGCAAAATTTATCCAACTTTGCGTTGCATTTTTGCCAACTTTTGCAGCCAAAAAAAATAGGATGGGTCTCTTTAAAAATACCTTAATTGAGCATTTCGAGTGGTACATGCAAAAGTCCTCAACACGGAAGATCGAAGTGAAAGTTCAACCAAAATGATTCTGGCGGTATGCCATTAGGGTTATTAAATGTGCGAATTGAGTTGAATTTGAATAGGTTAATTAAAATGGTTGGATTAATGACCGATTCAAATATTACTTTGACCGGATCAAAATGAGTTAAACAAATGGATCATAGTCAACTCCTTCACTTCTAATCAAATTCTCTTTTTTTATTTGTTCCCTTATAATTTATTTAATTACAAAACAAAACTAATACTAAAGCTTTATTTTTCTTTATTATGGCTATCTATCCTATCAATTAAAAAACTATTTGACACGTTATCTCATGCATCAATTTGAGATGCATATTTAGCAATCAGTTATACTAAGTGTTAGGTGTGCGAACACATTCTCACATTGGTGGCTAAAAAAATTAATTGAGAGCCTACATATTAAGCATCTTTTAATGGTGTAAGATCTTTTGGGAAAAATCGTGTGGGCTTGGTCCAAAGCGGACAATATCGCACCATATTAAGAGTGTTTTTGGGTCGTTTTAGCCCAACTACTGGTATCAGAACGCGGGCTTGACGAGACGAGTATGGTGATGGCTGAGTGATGGTGCGGGGCTAGGTTTACTTACCCTTACGAGCTTGGAGATGTGCACACAAAAAGAAGCTAGTTGCGGGCTTTGATTGTCATAATATTCTAACAATGTGGGTAACACGTAGTGAATCTCGGAAATTGACCCGTGGATCATGGAAATAGGCGATGTTTGACCAAAATACTATACTTTTAGTACATTACTCGTCCTATATTTTATTGGTTTAGTGATTAATTGTACAACATTTGAGCTAAATTATGTTGTTTCATGTATAGGAGCATCAAAAGAAAGAGTCGAATGAAAGTTGCACGAAAAGAGGACGGAAATGCAAGAAAAGATCACAAAAATACCAAGTACCCAAGCTTGGCTACAGGCCAAGCGTAGCCAGCTCTGTAGCCAGCTTTACCGTGCTACAGGCCAAGCATAGCCAACTCTATAGCCAGCTTTACTGTGCTGCAGGCCAAGCATAGCCAGCTCTATAACTAGCTTGACCACGCTACAAGCCATGCGTAGCCAGCTTTGTAGCCAGGTTGACCACGCTATAAGCCTAGTCTCGCGAGGTCTATATCCCGGTGATCAAAAATGCGTGAATTCTCAGATATGGACTCAAGGACCTTGATCATAACATCCCTAAACGAGTTGAGAAAGGGTTGGGCATTATTTTGGAGGAAAAAAGGGTAAAGAGCATTGTGGAGCAAGAATCAAACGCCTTTTCTCTCCATTTATCTCTTTACTTTGTAGTTTAATATTTTTGAACATCACGATGATTGTTTATTCATTCATGAGTGACTAAACTCTCTCATCTAGGGTTTGGTGGAACCTATTCAATGATGATTTTCCACTACGTTTAATATAAGTTTGCCGTTGATCTTTCTCTACTTGTTCAACTATATTTTCGTTGTTGTTGATTGAAAAGCTCTCAATTAACTGTACCTATTTAGTGTGTACTACTCGAGAGAGAGTACGCATTTAGGTAATTATTGAACAACACCACTCCTAACGTATTTGAGAGATCAATACGAAGGATTTAAAGGCGGGATTAGAGATAACGATACCTTGATGCAATCGTAGTGAGCAGTGATTTAATGACAGCTAACGTAGTTCAAGAGAATACGTCTAGTAAATTATGGTAGTTACTCGAGAGAGAGCTACGATACCCAAAGTACTCACTATCGGTAGAGAATACTTAGGCAAATTTATAGAAAACATAACAGGGGAGATTCCGACAATATGGGAAATTATAACCCTAGACTTTTCTAAATCTTATCTATAATATTTGCTCTGTTAGCTGTAAATGAATGCATTTTAATTACTTTTCTCTTAGTTAGTAAATATTCAAATCGTTATTTAATATTTCTGAAGGTTGATTGCTTGAATTCGTGCGAAATTAATGGTTGTGATTAGTACGTTAATTCCCTGTGAGATTCGACTCCGGACTTGTAAATCAGATTTTATTTGCAACGACCGCCAGATCTCTTAGGAGGTATAGTAGGGTGTAATCAATGGGCCACGTGGAACTTGGTTCAAGGTGGGAAACTCATGGATCGTGGTAGCGGGCCACATCAAACTTAGTTCGAGGGGGAGATTATTAGGTGTACGAACAAATTCCCACATTAATAGCTGAAAAGATTGGAAGCCTACATATAAAGTGTAGAGATCTCTTAATAGTGTGAGGTCTTTTGAAAAAAAAAACGCATGGGTTTGACTAAAAACGGACAATATCACACTATATTAAAGGTGTCTTTGGATCGTTTTAGCCCAAGACAATGCCCCGCGGTTTGTAGAGAAAACAAAGATAATGCAAATCCGCTCTAACTTAAATTTTAGGTAAAGCAACACCATGCATTTACCTTCATTAAACCGAAAAAGGGAAGGGAAAACAAACAAATGGATAACTCAAAATTGAAGTAGGTACATTCAATTTCTTAATTTGGCATTAAATCATTTACATGGCAGCTTTTCAAAAGTCTTCCATTAATGGTACACTTCCTGTGTCTTCTTCATCAAAAAAGAAGTTTAAAGCACTTTCAACGCGGTTCTGCGTTTGCAGAGACTCAAGGAAGGATAATTTCAGCAGACAAGGCTTTTGTTTTATTCTCTAGTACTTGCAAAATCAGCTTTTCAAGTTGTTCAAAGTTTTACCATGAGCAGTGAGTTTTGTAGATTCTAATCTTAATTATGGCAA